TTTGGTATCAGTACACAATAAAAACACTTTGAACAGTACTGATGATAGCTAATTCCCTGACAAAACCAAAATAACAACACTAAAATAACTGCAATGGCAGTGTACCGAAACAATAATATCAGACTACTGTCTAGCATAAAAACATCCAACAAATCCCCATCTCCAAGTCACAAAACCACAAACAAACATCCCTGATAACCCAACGGAGACCAGAGGCACTCCCACAGACACTCATGACCAGAATCCAACCAAAAACCAACCACACTGTACCGGTACCAACCACAACACACGCCAACAGCCACACCCAAAAGATAGACCGACAGCGTCACAACGCCCCCAGTGTCTTCAATACCAAATATGGAGACAATATCACATGACGTCTTTTAACAAATAAAACAAGAGTCGTCACACGTAAATAACCTGTAAGAGTATTTCGACCGCCGCTCGATATTGGTAACAAGCCAACACACTATGAAAAAGTTTCGACCATTGTGCTGGGGGTTTTCCCAAAAATCCTTGTACAGATGGGCAGAATCACTATGCAAGGATAAACACATAAATAAACTACTCAATCGAATCTTTTTGATTTCTTTATCCTCTAACTGTCTAACACAGAGGTTCGTCAATTACCCCCCGAGTCACGAAACAATCAACGCGAACCCCCGGTAATCAGACACCGACCAACGTGGTGATATACTGACTAACAATTTGTTGCAACACCGATTTATTGAACATATATACCTAAATTAAATCGTTTTGTTGATATTATTGTTTTTGTCGTCTGCCTAACTAATAAATTCTTAAAATCTCTCCCAAGGTTCAATAAGCATAATCACTTCTCCAATGCTCGCAGCACGCTGTCTTTAGAGATTTCACAGTTTGTACGCAAAGCCTTGGATTTCACAATGTTGCATCACAATCACAACAACGCAAGATCAGGTAAAATATACGTTTCAATTGGCGTCTAGTTTCAATGGGCACGCCTTTTCCCATGGTATTAATAAAGAATATTAAAAAACAGTTACATACAAAAACTCGACTGTCATCCAAGTACCCATGGAAATCTTCTCGTGAACCATTGGGGGTTTCGAACCCCTGGTCTAACAGAACCCAGTCTCTAATCAGTACTTTATATACAATGCTTTTTACCATTCTGCAACTTAAACACTTTCTAGCACAGTGGTTCTCAACCGGGGGCCGGTGGCCCCCCAAGGAGGCCACGACACAAGGCTAAGATTTGATCATGAAGCGACTTCGTTTGCATACTTTCCTTTTAAAATAAAATTCTCCCTTCATGCCTTCGCCGCAGTTTCACTGCCTAAATAGGTTATTTACGATCGCAGGGTGTATTCACTTTCTTGTGCGTGAATTGTTTGATCGTAATGGAATTTGGAATCTACCAATCAGAATAGTTTGCCAGTGGGCCGTCTAACCTGTAGACTGGCAGTTTCACTAAACTGGGAGATACTTCGCCACTGCATTATAGACAAAAAACATTTGTTAATACCTAATACCCAAAATACGAAAATGTAAAGACAGTTACGTTGGCTTTGGCTTTACCAAAGTAAATCAAGATGACAGGGAATGGGCTTAATGCTTGCATTGCTTGTATGTAATGAGCAATGAATCATTACGTCCATCCAAACTCCAAAACCACCGTGACAAAAATCATCCCACGGTGAAAGGTGTTGACATCGGTTTCTTAGCTACCAAGCCAGTTGGATTGACAAGAATGAAACATTGGCCAAGTTCGGGTTTCAGTCGGAGAAAGAGCCCGCTTTGAATGCAGCTATGAAGTGGCAGATCAGATTCTTACCCACCACTTAGCACGAAAGCTTCTTCACTGCTAGTTCAATTTGCCGCAACTTATGCATGCGAATCTGGTTCTTCTGATCTTGTTACCATCAAAACAAAATCTAGAAACCGTGTTGATGTTGACAGTGACATTCGTCTGGCTATATTAAAGCCGGTTTCTAATATGATAAACTCCGTCAGACAGTCCCAAGCGCAAGATTCCCATTGTTTGTATACTAAAAAGCTTTTACTTTCTTTCTTTGGGGACACGTGGGAAAAGGGGCGCCGGAAGAGGGCCACGAGTCATAAAAGGTTGAGAACCACTGTTCTAGCATGACACAAAAATAATGAAAGGCAATCTGGCCGAAGTAGCCTCTCTGCTGTTCAAGATTATTTGAGCAAAAAATTTTCAAGTTGTTTGTGGCATAAATATACTTACGATTCTTTGTGCAGCATTCCTTTATTTGACACGTTAGTGGACATAACGATCGTTTTGTTATTATGTTGTTCTTGTTCTTTGACACAGAATAGGACACTTAGTGGAAATATTAAAAAACCGCTTTTCGATTTTCTCGTTTACTTCGTGACATTGGCAAGATGCAAAAAGTGACGTAACAATGCTCTTTATTTCGCATCCGCTCATACACTTTTCTCACTCAGACAGATTTTCAAGCGTGGTCGTAAACATTACCTCGTTTTCGCGTTTTTAACTCTATTTGTTAGTTTTTTGTTGTGTTTCGAAAACCTAAATATAAACCAGATAATTCAATGATCGCTCTGTCTTCCCATGAGTTTTAATTTAATTGCAGTAATAAAAAATTAGTGTAGAAATAACTGTGATAGACTAGGCTAAAATTCGTTACCGGTATTTTTAAAAAACAGATTGTTGTGTGCGATGAATCATAATGATGGTTTGAAACACATATCCCATTTTACAGGCGCCAACTCGCAAAAGCACTCTTAAAATAGCCCCGAAAATTTTGCAATGATGAGGTATGAGAAGAATTTTCCGGGGGTCAAAGGTCGGGGAAAGGAACTGAACCAATTGCTTTGAAATTCTTAGTGATAAAAGATGAAATTTTTGTACAGAAGGCTATTCCTTTTAAATATTTCTGCTAGCTCTGTGAGATCTGTTTTTGTTTGACATGACGTCACCGAACGTTCTGTGGACGCATATGCAATCAGACGCATAGATCATTGCCACGGGACATGTGAAATGGGAGGCAGACAACTCGACTACACACGGACAACTCATCGGAGACAACTCGACTACAGATAGGCCTGGTGAGTTGTCCGTGAAGGCGAGTTGTCCATCAGCCTAAACGGGTATGACAGTCACTGTACCGAAATTTGTACCCCGATTCAGTTGGTGTTAAGTTGACTCATGTTGTTTAGTAACGTTTTTATGTGAAATGTTTGACTGTGGTACCTGATCTCGTAATTCGATACATAATTGACTCATATCACGAGATATTTCAATTGATGTTTCAATATAAACAAAAAGAATGGATCATGGTCAGAGGACCTTAAATATATGTATGACAGTTCCTGTACCGCCACAGTACCTCGATACAGGTACTGGTAAGTCACCGCATATGATTTTTGGGAAATTGCCTGCGTGTCCATATATTTGAGCAAAGCTCTCTTGTCTTGTCTCTTATAAAAGTAAGAAGTTTGAAGTGTAATTCGATGTTTTTTTTTCATGTATCAGTATGATAACAATATATATATCCGTACCCATTCCGATTACATTCGCAATCTGGTACAGTTGAGAACTACATGCAGCACAAAATCGTTTTAAGATAAATGAATAAAGACGAAAAAAGCGCGAGCGAACTAGGCTATATTCTTATTAAATAGTCTCGATGCAGCATAAGAAAGTAGAGACGCCACGCTTTGACAAGCTCCCATAAGTCTGCAAGTGCGGTAGTCGAATCTTTTTGCGTGCGAGCGTAGAATTATATGCAATACCGGTACCTTAGGATAGGATAGGATTTACATATTTATCCCGGGGGAGAGGAAAGCCGATAAGACGGCTTATCCATATGGCGAACCACGGCCTCTCGTCCGGTTACCATTCCAAGTCGGGTATGGGATTAGTTATATTGTTTGTTTTCGGAAGCATGGATTTGGTGGTGGAGGAAGCCGTAACCCAAAGTGACTAGTCACTTTGCCGTAACCGACCAGCCTGGTTTTAGTATTTTGTGCTTGAGGTTGCCAGATTTTATCATTCATATTCAATTTCACATAAATCCAGAAATTACGATGATTTTCCATATGTCAAATGGTATTGCTCATTGCATTTTTAAAAACGCTCAAATTGTTGTGGAACAATGAATTTGCGTTAGAAAGCAAAGAATAGTAAGTTCTGACGAAAATAATTTAAGAAAATAATTGCGAAAAAATATGGCAACTGTCACCGAGAAAAATGAAAAATCAGGCACTTGCGAAATATGACACGTCTCCATCAGTCACAAACGGGTACGGTATTTTACCCGTATTTATGTCACCATTATTGATTATGCTGTTAAATGCATACCGAAATGTATGCATGTAACCCGAAATACATGTATTATGGTGTGATAACAGTACGGCACACTGTATAGATCGGGTGACATTGTCTCGTTTCAAAGAAACCTATTTTACTGATGATCAGACACCCCTCTTTTGGGAGACGTCTGGACATTGATGTCCCTCAATATCGGTAATAATACAGTATAATGAAGTTGCGCAAAATACTACAAAAAAGCGCAATATAATAACGTCATCATTGAATTCCTTGTGAAAAAATAATCCGATTCACAGAAGGAAAAAATTTTTTACCGTGGCATGCGAGAGTTTTTAGCAAATAATGGCAAGTTTGGTCATGTGACAGCCGCGATTAATTCAGATTGTTGTTAAGACAAGCATGGCGCAATATGAAGCATCTGGTTTGGTGCCAGACGCCCCTCGTTTGTGAGACACATGGAGTGTTTGTTTTATTGAGCCGAATGGAGGGAAATTCTTGGAATTTGGATAGTTATGGCTAATGGCAGGGGTTCCTTATTGCAACTATCAAAAATGGAACTCAAATGGTATAGCCTAGATGGCATCTATCTAGATTTAACTGGGTACTCTTTTTGCTATCACTGACACTGACTAATGAACTCACAAACCCATTTTTTATATTACTTGAGGGCAGTATTTGCAGGTTTTAAGACAAACATTTTTTGTATTTCAGTTATTAAGATATTGCACTGTGTTGTACTCAGATAATACTCTATAATTTACTGGTACTCCTATGATAAACAACTGACTGCAACAATAATGTCAAGAGGACATCCTAATTTATCTCTCTTTGTTAGGAATGTTGGTGAAAGTGTTCGGTAAGTTCAATATTATTGATAATTCGACAAAGGGCCTTCCGGAAGGCCCTTTCTGCCTTTTAATCAGATAGTTTTGGAACCTGATGTCATGTACCGGTACCGTACCGGTAGTTTGATTTTAAATTTCTCATAGTTGAATGGTATCAATTAATCGTCAGTTACTTCATGAATACAGTCATGCTTAGAATTTCTATAAAATATTTGACTTTTTTTTCACCAACCAATTTATTTTTTTGAAAAATTTGATAAAAATCAATTTTTAAAACCTTTATTTCTCAGATGAAACACCTTTGTGATCTAATTTTTTCCCTTATTTTCATGTTATTGCAAAAAAAATTACGGTAAATATGCTAACGAAAGAAACCATAAATACAATTTTTTTTGTAAATTACAAATTTGTCATCAAAAGGCACTTATTTTTTTCTTAAAAACCCAGAACACAAATACCTAATACCAAAAAAAAAAACTATGAAAAGTAATACTAACACAAACAACATGGTGGTTGGGAGATTTCCAAAATTTTTTTTGCAAAGGGCCTTCCAGAACCTAAAAAACTTCTATTTTCTGTACCGGTGATTTGAGAATGTGCCACTGTCAAATCGATAAAAAATATAATTTTGAGCCAGGATATCTAGAGAGAAAGTTACATTCTTTGTTTTTGAGTAGAGGGAGGGGGTTCCCCAAATGAGAGCTGGGAATTGATTTTCAGTAAATGAAAGACAATCATTCATTGGAAGTCGACGCCTACTTGGACAATAAAACTTTGAATTTGAAATGTTTCCTTGTCATGTAAAGAATGATTTGGTCGATATGTTGTCTTCATTAATGAAATATGACATCAAAAGATGAGCATTTATCTCAGTGAATTCACAATCACTGTCTGTGCTGCATTCTAAGAAAGCACTTAGCACATCCCCTAACCTCCTTCTCTTCCTCATATCCTGAATCTCAACACTTGGTGGTTTTTAGGTGATACCTAAATGGCTGTTTCGTTCTTCTTCACTCAAACCAAAGCTACTCACTGCATTGTGCTCAACGATATCTGGATCGCTATAGTTAACAGGATTTCCAAATTCAAATCTTTCATGAGTTGCTACGTTCTCCTCATTTGGAACTCCAGGCGTTAAATCTTCATAGTCAATTTCATATACTTTATCATCATAGCAAAATTTCACTCTAGCTTTCTTTGAAAATTTAAAAGTATGAACTCAGACACCGCATTCACCACATTTTTTGACAACGAAACGACAAAAATTAATCTCATTTTTTGATCAATAAACTAGGTAACTTTCTAATTATTGGTGATATGAAGACAAGATTATGACTATGTTATTCGGTAATCCCCTGGCATGCAACTACAACTTTTATTGCTTTCATCACCAATAAATAAGTCACATGTTCTTAAAAGGTTTTCCTTTTCTGAATGATGTAGCGGTTTATTTTTGCTATACAAATAGGTATTATCAACTGTTTTATAAATAGCTATTTTTATTTATCATATTTCAATATCTTCACTTCACTAAATTTGAGAAGGCGGTTTATAGTATATTCTTTCATTGAACAATTTTTAATTGACTGATTTGATGCCCTCAGGTATGACCTGTAAGTTGTGTAACAGAATTTTCAGACTTGGTTTCGCCAGCCAGTACCGTAACTCACCATTTCTGAACATATTATTTTGCTCTCTTGGCATGTTCTGGGTTAATTCTCACCTCAATGCTTTATTGATCGATACTCTGGAAGACTTGAACCAGTTGTAGTAAGTCATTACACAGAAACAATCCCAGTTATTCACACGAGTCCCTTTTCTATATTTTTATTGTTACTTTCGTGTGACTCCTTACTTACTTTATACAGCTGTAATCGTTATAAGTTTTAGTTTTTATATAAATTCGCATTTGGAAATGCTTTTAATAAAGGTAGAATACTTGCCATTAATTTGATATTTTTTTCAGACCAGAAGATCTCCGCCGCGAGTTTTCCAGATTTGGTCCAATAAGCGATGTTTATGTCCCTCTTGATTATTACACTCGCGAACCCCGTGGTTTTGCTTATATACAATATCCTTTTGAAATATTTTTATATTAGATTTTGACTTGATTTTTACTATTAAAGGTTTAAAGACCACTTCGTGGTAAAGAGAAAAGACAAAAAGACTTTGGATCTTTAAAAGACAAAGCAAAGTCAAAAGAAAGATAGTACAAAATTCATAGCTTTGCGCCTGAAAAGAGATTTAAAGTAAAAAGTTTAAAGTTGGGAAAAGATTAAAGGTTTAAAGTTGGATAAAGAATAAAAAGTTTCATGGACTAAATTTGAAAAGTTCTTTAAAGTAAAGTTTGGTGTTTTGGTGAGATATCATCATCGTTAGATATTGATTTGGTTTTTCGGTGATGTTGTCGTTTTTGCATGTCTGTCAAATTTAATTTGTTTTAATCAATTAGAATGAAATTTTTTGTTTCAAGAAAAGCTGGTTCGGGGATTTTCACAAAAAGGAAAGGGTAAAGATATAGCGAAGAGGAAATATATCTTTTTAATATTAGATAAGGGACTAAAAAATATCTGAAGAGTTGTGAGAATTTAAGCCTGGATAAATTAGCTCAAAATCTAAATAGTAGGGCTGTAGTTTCCCCAACTAAGATGCCCAATATTAAATTTGTATTTTCTATAATTCTGGTCTTATAGAAAAATCGAAACATCTTTATAGACATCACGATTTTAAAGAAATCAATTTGCTCATTGTAAAAATAATTCATGTGGTGCGTCATTCACCAAAAATAATTTTCTTAGATGATTATGATATGTTTGGATTCATTATTGCAGACAGGAATTATCAATCATCCCTATTTCCAATACCAATTCGAAAATATTTGGTTTGTTTTACATCATTTTTCAATTCTCAGCTTTTTGAGAGTTTCTTCAAAACGAATATAAAATCAATAAAACAGAGGGAGTTTAAATCTTTGGAAAAACTTTTTGAGCATGCCCTTAACAGTATATTGCTTCCTGCACATTTGAGGATGTTCGAGATGCAGAAGATGCTCTTTATGGAATGGATCGCAAGTGGGTGGGTGGTCGAAGCATTGAGGTACAATTTGCTGCGGGGGACCGGAAAAGTTTGTATTATTTTTGTAAAATATTTATGAATATAAAAATTATCTTCATCTCACTCGGTGGTGTGCTCGAGTGTTATAGCACTGAATTTTCATTTGAGTACCGCAGCGTTTTTGACATAAATTTTTTGTCATCTTCCGAATTGTTTGATTATCGAGTTGGTATCACTGTACTCTTAAATAGCCCCTACGATGGTATATGAGCAAATGAATTATCTAAGCCTCATTGAGCAGCTGATCAAAGTTTGTTTGAATGTCAAAATGTCTGTTTTATGCAGTTGTGAAGCAGACAATTTTTATTTTATCGCTTAATACTTTTTTGTAAATATTGATCTGTGACGAGACTTATCATGCTTTCTGCTTTGTATGGTATTTAAATTCCTCCACCTTGTTTTTCAGCACCAGTGCAAATGAGAGGGAAAGGAAGGAGATCGCCACCAAGGTAAGTCGAACTAGAAATATTACATGATCTATCGTGCATCAGACTCCGCAAAACCCTTATGATCTCATTATTTTTTCTGAAGGCACAGTCGACGGCGTTCATACAGTCGCAGCCCAAGGAGAGGACGAAGAAGTCACAGCCGTTCAAGAAGTAGATCATATGAACGTCGTCGTTCACCACCACAGAGAAGAAATCATGGGCGTTCAAGATCACGCAGTCGTTCACACGAAAGACCACCGCGAAGAAGTGATTCATTTGAGCGCAATGATAGAAGAAATTCTCGTTCATCACCTGTTCGACGACGATCTCGAAGTAGATCAGAGGAGAGACGCAGGTGGCTTTATGTCTTCAATTTCAGGCCCATCCTAAACATTGATGAAAGATTAATATTCCTTTAATAAATCTTTAATATTGAATATTGCTATTTAATTTATTGAGCACTATATTGAATTTCTCATAACATTCCTTTCATAACTCAATATTTTTGAGAAACTTTTTATTTTAACCTGCACAATCCTTCAAATCCAAATAAACCTCAAATTTTTAATTCTTTTTTTTAGTAGATCACCTTCTATAACTCCTGAAAGAGGTGCAGAATCCCCGAAGAGAAGTGCATCTCCCAGAAGAGATCGTTCAAGGTACTCTATTTCCTTGATTTCAAGTTTATTTGCTGCTTTCAAAGTTAATTTTTGCTAAGCCTAGTATAATTTTTCTCAGTTTCCTCAGTCCTTACATCCCGAGGTTAAATTTTAAAATGGTGATGACATAGTTCTATTTGCATATGTTAATATCTGCTATTTCACCTCTTGTATAATTTTATTCCAGATCATACTCCGGTTCTATGAACGGATCAGACCGCAGTTGAGAATTGCAAGTTTGCAACACTACTGTTATTAACAAGTATTGTGTAAACTCTGGAAGATATCAATGTACATATACTGTATAAAACTGTACTGCAAGACTTTTCCAGTTCTTTTTATTTTCATTTTTGATTTTACTGCTGGAAGTAAACTTGGTGTTGTAACTCTCTTATGATTATAGGCGGAATCTAGCCAAATTTTAGCCATTGTTAGAAATTGGAAGACATGTTAATTTTATGGTGAGTGATATAGGAACATGTTAATTTTATGGTGAGTGATATACCTTTGCTGATATACTTTCGGTCTGGATCAGGCATGGGGATATCTGCTTCTCACTATGTCTCACAAAGTCTGCTTCTCTGCTATGTTTGGTTAGAACAGTGTGTAGTGTTGACAAATCAAAGGTTCACACTGGTAGCAAAATGAAGTACATTCCCATCCACCAACTTTGATCAACAAAAACTCTTAATTGTGCAGATGAAAAGTAAAAAGCTATAAGTATTATGAGGGAGCTCTGATGTTAAATCCTTAGCAACCACTAACATATTAGCGAAATCTTACTGCAAAATACACGGTTTAAAAAAAATAGTGTCTCAACAATGCGGATTGCCTCTTCTCTGTAAAGACGCTCACGACAGAGGCGTAGCATCTATGGCCACACAAAGCACTGAATTAATTGAGTGACAAAAAAAGAAATTCAAAGCTTTGCTTCGGGACCTAAAATTCTTCAAATGTGCATATTCGAGAATATTTATAGAAAATGAACGACAACAATATCAGTATCGGACTGATATTTATAGGATGAAATTAATTGACAGTTTCACAAAAATTCGAAAAAGTGATCTTAAAATTGAACAAGATTCGGCAGCTTAAAAATATTTTAGGAATGGATGAATAGTTCAAAGTTCTATCTAATCAAATAAAGAAATTGTGCAGAAACGTAATACGTTTTTCAGTGAAATACTTCTATTATGAGGAATTAACGCAGATTTCACGAGAATTTGAAAAAAGAACTTGAAAATTGACCCAACTGTTGCTCAAAAATTATTTTAAAAATGAATGAATATTTCAAAGATTTAGCCTATATTTTCAAATAAAGAAATTGTGCAAAAATTCTAGGGCTTGAAAAATTATTTTTAGTCCTGGGGGAAAAGTTAAAACATCTATCCAATCAAATAGAGAAATCGGGCAAAAACCTCGTCAGTTACCTAACGAAGTTATGTTTCAAAAATAATTTTGAGCACGGATGAGTAGTTCAAACATCTTCCCAATCGAATTACAAAATTGTGTGAAAATTCCATCAGTTTCCTAACGAAATACTCTTATATATAACGAATTAACGTAAATTTCAAAAAAAATTGTAAAAACGTCAAAATTTACCCAAAGTTCGACATCGATCCGATATAGTGAAGAAATTTGGCAAAAACTCAAATCAATATTTTAACGAATTACTTCTAATCTTACGAAAATCGAAAAAAAGTCGTAATTAACCCAAAGTTTAACCCGGTGAGGTCCGCCTTTGGGACTCAAAAAATAAGCACAACTGAATAATTCAAACATTTATCCAATAAATAAATTGGAAAAAACTCAGTATTCTAACGAAATACTTTCGATATAACGAATCAACGTAAACTTTGCTAGAATTGTCAACCTGACGATAACCACCAGCAGTACAGAATAGTCGATTGAAACACCTTGTGAGTTTTATTGCGTATCCGACAAGATATACAGAATACAATGTATACACTCTTAGATCAATTCTTTCTCGTAACGATTATCTTTCCTGGGGAAAGAGGGATTGCATTTTGTTTCGTAATTTTAACTCAAATTGGCGTAAATGCTATCTATAGCCCCGCCTTTGGGGCTCGAATAATCCATTTTTGCCATGGATGAATAGTTCAAACATCTTTCCAATCCAATAAAGAAATTGTGCGAAAGCTTCATCAGTTTACTAGCAAAATACTTTTATTATAATGAATTTGGTTTTCTTCTTTCCGGTCTCAGAATAGTGGATGTCTTTCCAATCAGATGAGGAAATCGGGCAAAAACTTTTTTAGGTATAAAGAGAAAACAAAAGTTCAGTCGAAAATGTGAAAAGAGCAAAATAGCGTGGAATACATTTTTTTCACTGGACATCGAGGGTAATATCTTGGCACATCAAGTCCGTTTCTGCTCATTGACTTGAACATGGATGGGAATCCCTGCTTGAATCTCTCTCCCCCGTTGAAGAAAAATCAATAGATGGGGAGTGGGCGAACTATCAGGCCTCACGAGACTCTTTCGAAATATGATAGTATTAGTCTTCTACTGACTTTCATTTATTGATTGGTCAAACAGATGCGGAGATAAACGATGCCTTCCCACACAACACATCAACAACTCAGCTACATGGACAACATCGATAATAATTTATTAATATATACGCTAAATTGGCCCAAGACCTGTCTCATAGTCACTTTTGATTTGTGACCTCATAATCATTAACGCATCTGACGAAGTCGATAAGTGCTGCCTCGGAACTACAGCCTTTCGAGACATTTTGACAATTTCAAGTATCCACATCCGCCACCTTCATTTTGAGGAAAAGTCTGTCCATTTCTTGAAGATTTTATATCCCAGCCACCAATTCTTGGTATGTATTCATGTTTTTATTCATTTGTAATATAGGAATTATTATAGTGGCCACTTTTGGAGGCCAGTAAGCGTCTTACGATGTAATCCTACCAAATTTGCATGTATTACTGTATAGGGAGACAAAGTGCGGTCTTAGGGATAAAGACTGTTCACCCTAATATTCAAAGTTCGATTCCCACGTTATTAATTTCACGTGTTATGGAATGTGACTCCAATCTGGATTCCCTCAGACGATAATAAGCACACGATGATGATTGTCGAATTGTTGTATATTATTGAAAAGATGCACGATCCAAATTCCAAATACAGATAAAATTGTATACACTTAATTCCTAATGCAGTAAGATTACGGTCAGATCACAAGTCATATATCGAGTGAAACAAGAAAACACAATATTTTAGAGCATTCTCGGCAAACCGGAAACGATACGTTATCAAATTGGTCGAAACGAGAAAGGCAATACATGGAGCGAATGCACTATTGCTGTTGCGAAACATAATGTGGCCTATTTTGTGAAATATTACATGCTATTAATATGAAAGGGTAAAATACATTATAATCCATAGTTACACAATGCACATTCGCTACAACTGTTACAACTTCAATTTATAATGTAATAGTAATTTTGATAATGAGATTAAGTCATTTATGGAACTGCAATTTCCACTTTTTTGGAATCCCTCTTTCAATGCCACTATATATATATTGGTAAAGCCGTAAATGAATACTACGTTACGAAAAACAGAATCAGTAATTTTTCAACAAAGACTATATAGTTGAAATTTCCAGACCGACTCAATTTGGTTTCCGTGAAGGCTGTAGTACCACCCATGCCATGTTTGATATCACGACATCTGCCATGGATGATTGAGAAAATAACAAAACTAATTGCAATGTTTGTTTTTGACCTGTCTGAAAAGTACTGTTTCATAACTTTTTAATTTATACGTTCTTATTTGTGTGGTATAATATTAAACGTTTTTTCTTGCAACTATTTTTTTTAAAAATTTTGTCTAACATGTATCTCATTATTCTAAATGCATGATTATTGGTTACAACAAATTACCATGATTTATAATTGGTATAATATAAAGTGTAAACCGTCAACAATATTCATGTCATGAGAGTTGTTTTGATTTAGTGAGCGTATGGTCCTTCCGACCTCCTATCAATTCCGTTAATTGAATATTTTACTCAATGAGTATTTACTCAATTAATATTTGTGTCTTTTGTTCGATCTGCGGGTTATTGACTAAATTCTATAGATCTATCTCAGAAAACATAATAATTATCAAAGATTTTTCTTCATCATATAAAATAATAGATACGATTTATTTTAAGACGCATTTCATTCATTTTGATAAAACGCCTGCATCGAAATAATGAAAATATACAGGTCAATCGCTAGTTAGATGATTGAAAAGGAACTGGAAAGGCTCGAATCAAAACTCACAAAGTATGAATACGGAGATCATATTCAGAGAGGCGTACAAAACTGGATAAGTTTTTCAGTCAACGTGAAAATGCAATTTTTGAAATTCTCAATGGAAAAAAGACTACTGACAATTTACAACAACCCGGCAATGTAATTCAACCCGAACAGGCGAATTGTCCAAAAAACATCACAAAAGTACATCCTTAAAAACATCCAACAACCAAACCATTATTGAACCTGATTTTATGGATACGGAGATCATATTCGGAGAGGCGCGCAAAACGGGATAAGTTTTTCAGTCAACGTGGAAATGCAATTTTGGAAATTTTCGATGGAAAAAGACTACTGACAAATTACAACAACCCGGCAATGTTATTCAATCCGAACAGGCGAATTGTGCAAAAACATCACAAAAAGTAGCCTACATCCCTAAAAACATCCAACAACCAAACCATTATTGAACCTGATTGTATGGATACGGAGATCATATTCGGAGAGGCGTACAAAACTGGATAAGTTTTTCAGTCAACGTGAAAATGCAATTTTGGAAATTCTCAATGGAAAAAGACTACTGACAAATTACAACAACCCGGCAATGTAATTTAATCCGAACAGACGAATTGTCCAAAAAACATGACAAAAAGTACATCCTTAAAACATCCAAACCATTATTGAACTTGATTGATTCGCTATCAGTCCGACCTCATCAATTTGTTCCACTGCATTCCACAGGAAGGGCTACAATGGCGAGTTTATGTTTGGTTATGATAATTGCGATAAATCGTTTCACCCAGCTTGCTTTCTTATACGACAGGGGGACTTGCTGCAAGCCTACTGGGAAAATTGTCCCTTTGTTTGTGAAGGCAACGCTGTTGTTATTGGCAAAGCTGTTCATGAAATATTTTATCAGTCAAGAAGACATTGTGAAACACATTTCTGTGATAAACGCGTTTTCAGATTTCAAATGCCTTTATTAACAAAATCAAATGCGTGCAGACCGATGGAAAATATTTTCTCCAAGAATTGAAGTAATTATGTGACAACCGATTTCTCAGCATTACGATTCCTCAGCATTAATAACATGTATGTAACAAATACACAAAATTAATCACATTCTCACGTGCATTTAGATTATCGGC